GCACGTGCATAAGCATGGAAAACTGTCGTCCCAAAGCCAAAACTGTCAGCCTCAAATGATGTCATTGTCTGATTGTCTGAGAAGCACCAATATAAATTCCTTTGCCCCTGCTGGTCAATAAGACGTAAGCGCTTGCCCCGCCGCATGCTGCGAAGGTGATGCGGCAGCACTGTCCCCCAGCAAGTGGCACGCCTGGCACTGATGAGGAATGGGAAACAGCACAATTCCAAGAGCTTCGGCTCTACTCCGGGACATTGCTGCTACTGATTCTATATTCCTCGAGGCTGCGATGGAGCAAAGCAATCAGCCTGAAAGATCGGCTGTGCAGCTGTGCAAAACAGCAGCTGGCAAGCGCGCAGGTCGAACACCATGCGAACAACAGCACGACGGCAAAGGAAGTCCAATGTCCGCTTCGCCAAGCAACTCTTCGGAAAACAGTTGACAGCCTGAAGCCTGCAGCTTTTTGGAACTTCGAAATCAAATCACGAAGTCAACCCTAAAGCCTACCAGACCCTTCATTGAAAACACCCCACCCCAGGCCCAGTCCCAGGAAATACATGTTAAAACTCGTAAGCAGAGCCGAAAGTCTCTTCGACCTCAGAAACTTCTTGGCACCGGCCTTCGAGGTGACGTTGTACGTGAATGATTCGCAATACCATACCGTCTGGCCTTGGTGCCGGATGCAGAGTTTTGGGGCTTATCGCTTAGGGTTTGGCGTTTAGGGTGGTCTAGAGCATCTAGAGTGCACGCACTGAAGCTTTTCTTCACCGCAAATGCTTCGAGCTTCGCACAGGTGCTGGGCACAGAGGTGGAGTGCACTAACGGCAGAAGCGACTGAACAAAATAGCCAGCCCCTTCTAAAGTATGACTGTCCTGTTCCACTTATGCCTGCAAACTTCCGTGTTGTTGTAATATGCCAAGAGGCAAGTCTCTTGGCACTGGTTTGCAGAGGCCACGTACCCGCCGTTGACAGGATGGTTCGCGTCCTCTGTGGGATCATATCGCAAGGCTGCTTCGGATGAATGTCTGTCGCAACCTCGCGGTACTGGAGAGCAGTTCAAGTGACACTAAGGGTGACGTAGGGTCACAGCAGTCGCTTGTATTGTGGGCCGAGGGTGAGAAACAGTCACATTTAATTTCCTTGTCTGTGGTAGCCGAAGCAGGAGCTAAGAGCTTCTATGAAACCATAGCCCTAGGGTTTAGGGTTTTGGGCCGGAATTTTAGATGCTCGTTGCCCACACCTTCCTGCCGGAATCTGGCATTGCCTATGCCTTCCGGCTGGGTCCGCGAAACTTAGTGCGGATAGCCCTGTTTGGGCATGGGAACCAAAGCGCGTGCCAAAGGCAGCCAAAGCTCGTTGAAGGCGGTGTTCACTATGGAGCACTTCGGAACCGTCTCTGGGTCGAATCCCAGGGTCCTTATCCAAACAAGTGGTGGAGATGGCTGCGACTCTGCACATCTCGAAAAAGTTCCAGCATGCTGAAGTTCTATCAGCACCCTCAAAAACTCTACTGCGAACCAATCCGCCTCGACTGTCGAACCCCGAGCCCGGAGGCTACAGGCGATGTGAACGCTGCCCGCTCAAATTCTGCATTGTGCTTACACTCGAGCAGTGTCCGGATTCGGATGTCCACGTATATCGATGCACAGTGTTTGGTGAACCAGACCTGGCCTACCCAAAACCCTAAACCCCGCCTGGACAGGCTTGATTGGAGTCTAGAGTTCCTTGTTCTGCCAGCTCGAAAGCTGAACACAGCCAACGGTTGCTCACGGAAGCATCCACAAGGGTTTAGGGCTTAGAGGTCCAGGGCCCCATAGGTCATGTAGCGGCAGTGGTATCGTGAGGCTCGTGGTGGCGGTGACATCAAAAACTGCTTTAACAAGAGCCGCCAGAAAAGCTAATCGCCAAAGGCCCAATCATGAACCAACATGTCACCCCGAACCCGAATCAATGATGCTATAGTAACTTAACAACTTTAAATGCCGAACTCCTGATTTCAAGCAACACGGAAGTTTTGCCAGCTCAGACCACTTCGTCAAAACAACATCCGGAAAGCATGAGCGAACATCGTCCACCTGCCCTGTTCAAGCCGCAGCGCAGGTCCAGCACAGGAATGGGTGCAATGAGATTTCAGGCTCAGCTTGAGCCACGCTTTCGGCTTGCTTTCGCCGCTGCAACCAGCCCAGTCATGGCTTGACTGGCTTCGAAATCCGAAAGAGCATGTTGCAAAACCGCATGCCGGTTTCTGCTGAACGTACCCATCAGTTTTCCTAGCTGTCGCACACCCTTTTGCTGAAGCTCGCTACCCTTGAAGATGGCAAAAACGAATGCTTCTGCAAACACGTTGTCTGGTTTGATTCCACGTGCCGTCATGTTCCATAGATGCGGCGAAGTGTTTCAGATTGAGCCTTGACATGGGCCCTCACCAGACCGGTGAGTGTAACGACGGTTGGTTGCAGTGACCGGTTCAGCATTGTGTTGAACACGTACTTGGCAGCCGAGGGGCTGGGAGGATCAGCATTGCGACAAGCATTGATCGCAGAATTGAAGCTCGGCACATCAGCACTTAAGCTGTGCTCCGCCATGTAATCTGGACCTGTTGCGGCGCCAGCTATATCGCCCATGTCGGCAGCCGCTTCAATTCGTGCTGCTGCTACCAGTTTCCCGACAAGTCCTTCCCGCAGGGCCTCCGTCCAAATTTGTTCGACTCGGGACTGGTTGCGAAGTTTGCCGAATATCTTCAGGCCACGGTGTAGAATGACACTGTTCGTCATGCAGTGCGGAAAGTCGATCCACTTGTCATATATGGCAGCTGCATCCTTGTAACGTCCGCAATGGTATGCTGCCTGCATGGCCGCCGCGTATGCAGGACCTGCCACTCCCGAGTAAGACTTCCACAGCCGTACTTCACGATCCCATTGACCACAGCGACCAGCTTCGGCAAGCGAACTGACCAGGATCCTCTCTTTGCTAGACAGAGTAACATTCATGAGATCAGCCTCTTGTATGCTCTCGCCTATGCCGCGTCCAGTCCGCTCTCTGAGCACGCTGACCGTGGGCTGTTTCTTGCGAGGGCTGCTAAAACCGTGTGACGAGCAGTATGTGCAACATGCGAATATCAGCACAATCGGGACCAAGCGAAAACGCAGGTCTTTCCTGAACAATCTTGCACTGCCAAACCGTCGTGGTGCTTCTCGTGTTGCAAAGTCACTGCCGTCGGAAGACGGCCAATGCTCTCTTGAAGGGCGGGTCGGCTTCGGTGAATGATTGAACCAGCATTTTAAAAACGCGTGCTGTGCGAACCACACTTGTACGGACGTATGAGGCACATCACCGCAGGATAATCCTACTTTGGCGCTGGGGGTTCCTGTCTTGCTATACCGCAACGAGCCGACAACTGCAGTTAGGAGATGCTCACTGCATCGTCAAGGACTTGTACTGCCGGAGACTTCATGCTAATGTACGCTTGGATTGGTTTGAACAATATGTTCTGAAGGTACCAACAACATATCCCAGATTAAGGACTGTGGCTTCGACAAGTCCTGCTGTACACATCTGATGCAACAAGGCTTAGGATGTGCTACTTACTTGGGATGTACGTTGTGTTCTTGTAGCTTCTAGTAGCACTGTTGCAAGGTCCTACCTGGCCTGGACCAGAAGTAATGCAGCATGGTTTCTTGATCGCCAGCTGTATCGGGTCGAGGGTGCTGATGTCCTGGAGCCACTTTGATGTTGTGAAGCCGCGTCGTCCACAGATTTTGCTTGGCCGCACGCCTCCTACAACCTTTTTGTGCACGAACCCTTGCAGCCTATCTTGCCGACGGCCTCCAAGATATGCACGGGTCTACTGTAGAACCAGCCATCCCTCTATGACCAAGAAACTGTTGCGCTGCGGAAAGCTGGCTTCATGCTCTTGGGATTTGCAGCAACTCGGCCAGTATCTTCTGAGCTGTAGCTGTTGCACTATGCCTACAATGCCAACCTGAATCTATACTCATAATCTACTATATGCTAGACAGCGGGGGGATCGACGAAGGCTGAGGACATCTTGTATACCTGGATACCTCTTGTGCACAAGGAGTTGTGCATCTCTCCGGCATGTCACTCCAACATGCTTGCCAACACACCTTGTTCTTGATATTTGCTTGTGCCCATTACCATTGCTACTCACCTTAATTCTGGTATTTTCGCCCTTGGCAAGCGGTCTTAGTCTTAGATCAAAGCCCTCAGCAATCAGGGTTAAGTCAGTCAACATTGCATGGGACATATCACCCAACGGCAACCTGGCCAACAATTCCCGTACAGGACCTTCGACGCTATGTATGCCGAACTCGTGGCGGTTGCTGCGACCTGCATGGCACGGGGCTGTCACCATAGTGTCACACTCCCAGGGCCCTACATGAAGGATCAACTGTTCGAAAAACAGCCTCAAGACCGTCCCTAGGATCGGAGTATGAATTGGAACAGCCGTGGCAAGACAGAACTGAGTTACTCCCATGCCCCAGTTTGTAAATGTAGGTTGCGGACAGGGAAGTAACAACACATGCCGACTGAAATATTCCCGCATCAACAGCTCCCGACAGTTGTAGTTTTGCTGGTCGTGAACCGTCGACTAATTACGTTAGACGGACAGTGACATCATGAAGAGCATCTCCAGAACTTTATGCATGGTGCTTCTGGTCCAGTTATGCAACTTCAGACATCTGTACTGTAAAGCAGCCTGCGCTTGAAACCCGTGTGCCGCATCATTGAGCTCGATCTACAGATCGCATGGCTCATTGAAACCGAAAAAGTCTTCTTCTGACCCCATTGACGAGACCTCCTTCGCCCGAGGCGTCGGTAGGCCCAGGCTTTGTGCAGCTCTGTCGGCTGCAGCCGCCACAGCTTCAAGCTGCTCCTGTTTTCAAGCACAACTCGAAGTCTTTGTGTTGCCATGCTTTGTGGCTGAACTGGTCACGGGAATTCGAAGCCGAGCTCTTGGTCCTTTTCAACTTAAGCTTCAGCATGCAGGAGATGGCTGAGACTTGGCAGCACAGGCCTTCCGTATTTTGCCTGCCTCCTTGGCTGCGAGCCCGGCGATCCGGGCTGCAGCCTCCACAGCCAGGTCCTGGCAGAGGGTTATCGACGCTTAGACTCGCACAAGGCAGGCAAGGCTCGACACAATCCAGAATCGAGACTGTGCCCCGAACTGTTTCAAGAACCGATGCGCGGGACACATTCATGAGACACAGGCAGATTTTTGCTGTTTGAAAGCTCTTTTCGCCTGCTTATGCAGAGGGCATAGATAGGGTTAAGGGAAACCCTAAACCCTAAACAGTGAGACTACCAGAATCGACACGCACATAGTTGTGCGTACCAGCATATGTTTTCTCGCACAAACGCACACTATCCGAAGGGTATCTCAGCTTGGCACCATATAGGGCTCAAGGGGCCCAGTGGGCATTTGTATGTGTTATCCGGGGCAGCAGCTCTCTGAAACGTCCCTTCCCTTTGCGCATGGGGCATGGGGCAGGCTTAATCAACCCTCTAGCTTGTGGCAAGCATTATCAAACGTCACCTTTGGGCACAATAAGCAGCTCTCAGCCACTAGTTTGATCCAAGTCTCCGTCTGCTCCTCTGCACTCACTCCCATTGCCGCTGCAGTGTCTTTGGCGGCCTTGATGACTGCATCCGTCCGCGCCTGCAGAGTAGGGATTTATTTATATATATATATATTTATTTATTCATTTATTTATTTATTTATGCAGAGGTGAGGTAACGGCGCGGTACACTTCAAAGGACATGCTTTCAAACTTCCGTGATGCCAATGGTTATTGCAGGAACTGCGCATGGCCGATTTACGCACCTAGTGCCTCTTTCCGTTTATGTTGCTTTCTAGCAGTCTCATCTTGCGAAAGAGAACTGGGATTGGAAAATAATCTGCACGCTGTTGCAGTAGCTTCTGCTGCAAGATAAATCAGACCTGAACAGAGCATCCGGCTGTCCTTCTCATCATCGCCTGCAGCACGAGCAGCGGCTGCCGAAGCTGCCTCTACCTTTGACGGTGCCAAGATCACCACTAGCTGCCCTACAATCACCAAACACATGATGCAAGGGCACTCTATGGCTCCTGCTAGCTCCCACATGGCAATGCGGACCGCGGCCACTGTATGCCGAGTGACTGGCTGTAGTTTTTCTGCCCCGGTACAGCAAACCCTATAAGGCCCTAAATCCAAATAAAGTATGCCGAGAGTCTCCAGTGTAGTTCTTGTTTTGGTTTAACCAGTTATATATTCATATAGGACCCTATAAGGCAACCCCAAAAAGGTACTACAACGGAGACTGTAGGTAAGCCCTCCAAACCCCAAATTGGACCAAACTTCTCAGGCCCCCACAGCCAGCTGCAGCTGCATCCCATGGCTTTCTGCCACAGACTTGGCCGCTTTGGCTGCTGCCGAAACCTGCGCGTCGTGGTCTTTGTAGCAGAAAAACTGCATTACGGCCTACATCATCATCAAACCACATCATCTACAAGTCCCACTTCCATGCATCAATGGCCAGACTCAAAACATCCAGGCTATGGCTGTTTTAGATATGTTTACGAAACGCTGGAAATGGAGCGGTTGGCTGAGGCCTGTTTTGCAGCTGTCGTAATTGAATTCCGTGACAGTCTTTTGTCGAATCGTATAAGACCTTGCCAGGCGACCTGCTTGTCGACGCTCGCCCCATTGTGCTCTTCGATCCAAGCTGCAGCGGCACCGACAGCATGAGCGACCTGCGAGGGTTCTGGCGCATAACTGCCTCAAGGTGATGGTAGGCTGGGGTGCGCAATACATGTTCTTCGCTTCCGAGCAGGAGGAACAGTGAAGACGGTTTTTTCGCAAACAGCTTGAAGACTGCTGTCAAACTGCCTGGAGTGAAGGAGACCCCGTGTGAGTGACCTGAAAAGGAACCTGCAAACGAGCAGAAGCTTAGTATGGCCTCCTCCCATCGTCGATCTTCAGGGAGCTCTGAGGAACTCCTTACGAGTCATGGCTACAGTGTCTGAAAACGTAAGGACTATGCAGGTTGCCGGGAAGGCTTCAGAACATACTGGAGGCAGAAGATGATGTGGCGGTAAGCAGGCCGGACACGTCGGCTTTGGTGGAGGGCTGCTTCTTCCGAGCTGTCGTTCATCACGAAACGGCAGGCGGGGGAGGCCTGTCCTGCCACTTTCCTTCGAACATGATTTCGGGATTGAGGATGCCTTCCGAACACTACCTACCTGTAGACACGGAGCAGCCCTGGCACTACAGGAATTATTCCTTCCCGTTACAATTCCGTGCAAGTAGCAGACACCATCGCAGCCAAGAGTCGCTCTGTCCCTGGCCGCGGTCGCTGCACGATTCAAGGCGATTTTGGGATCAGCGCCTCCTCAGCGAAGCAGTCAGCCGAGGCCGCGCTTGTTTCAGACTTGTAAGCAAGCTTAGCTGAGAGCTCTGACTTCATCGCTGGGGCTGGTTGCTGATCTCCAAATCGACTGTTGACGACATGTGCCTACGGGTGTAGGTATAGGATGTGTATGTAGATAAATAAATAAATACATAAATATATATATATATATATGTGTGTGTATGTATGTATATATATATATACAGATATTATAGACTATCCTTGTCGTAGCTTGTTGCTTTCAGATGCTTTGAGAAGCATTCTGTAAGCGACGTGCGTGTGTTGTGGCACTCCAGTTGAAACTACGGCTTACTGGTTGCATGTTGGAGGACTCCAGAGTCTTGCACATGCGGTCGAGCAACCTGATGCGAAGGACTTCTCTGCTGCATCGAGAGCGCTCTTCGTGATGGCTTTCGCAGCCGCCTAATGGGGAAGTAGGGCTTGTGGCTTACTTCAAGCCGCAGGTTGCAGGCTTCACGGTCGAATCGGGATGCAGAGCTACATGCGAGAGTGCAGACAAAAACTGGCAGAGCTTCTGGCAGTGTTTGCTGGTTATGCTCGACTCACTGAGCTTCTGCAGTAGGCGTACGAGAGCCCTTTTGCTTTCCAAGGAAAGCGAACGCTTTCCAGACCAACTGCGCAGGTCAACGAAGTATTCCAACTGCCAAGCGTACTTGACCTGCGTGGCTTTTGTCTTCGGCAATGCCCATGGAGGGTGCAAGGGCAACGCGGTGGGCTTCTGCCCAACAAATCCATGCTCCACCAATACCTGGATTGGGAATGCGAAAAGTCCGGATAGCTGTCCGGCATGCAGGACAGCAGCCGTGAGCACATCAAAATCATTCTCTTCATATGTGCTCCAGCCGAACTTTCCTCTGTTTCTGCGAAGGTAAACCCTACATGCTTGCTTCACTTTTGCAATGTTCGATGTTTTCTCTTGCACGCGCCAGGTGCAGCCACCTCCATGGAGCACAGAATCCACCGCTGCATCGCTGCAGGTTGATTCCCGGAGACGGAAATTGACCTCAGAAAGTATTGTGGCCAAGTCGAGATGCGCCTGCTGTTCCACCCGGTGTTTAGTAGAGCTGCACTGAAGCCTCGCTTCCCATAAAGATGTGTGCGGAAAAGTCATCTGGTTTCGGAGACAGCTCTGCAAAGTAGCACCCATGTCTTGTATACGCCAGCATCCGTCGCGATGAGACCCAAGAGTGATAGATAAACTGCTCTGTGTTACTAGGTCGCCAGGTACCGCCCAACACATATCTATGTCAGGAGCCACTAAGATCAGGAGCATGCCTTCATATCCCCTTGTGTGGGAGAACACGTAACTTCGTCCAATGTGCCCACGAGGCGCCGAAGCTTTAAGCTGCAAGCGGATGCCTGCAACGGAGCCCACGGGCCTGAAAAGAGCATCGGCACGAGAGAAGCCGGCAACGCGAGTTATTTCATAGCACGAGGCTTGAGAAGATTGAAGGAAAAGTCGCCGCACAGTGCGGAAGGAGTCCTCTTCCTGGCGTACACGGGTCTGGCGTGCTTGAAGTGCACACTTCCGTGCTTCTTCTCGGCATTTCTGGAAACTTGCCTCGTGCAGAGTTGGAAAGTTCAAGGACTGCTTGAGTCGAGATCCATCATCGCACAATGGGCGCAAGCGCTTATCAAACGCATTAGCAGCCTCGAGCTCGCACCCAAAGTAGCCCGCGTGATGCGTCATCTTATCGAAGGAAACTCTTGCTCGATATTTGCCAGAAGTTCTGATCCAATAAACGCCACGGAAACTGCTGGACACCTGCCGGCACAGATGCTGACTCAGGCGGACGATGCTGAAGACGCCGCGTGCAGCTGCCATAGCTCTTGTGGTGAAGCTCACTTGCTTCATGTGCGCATCACGGCCCGATATAAAGAATCTTCAACCTCCTACATCATTCGCGGCGGCATCTCGTAACACAAGTCAAGTCGTAGCTGTGCACATCATGCTGCCCATGGCTTCGGATTGGTGCCAATGCCCAACCTCGTGTCAATTGAACAGACTTAGGTTGACAATATATTTGGCTACGGCATAATCTAGGTTAAAGTTTAGGGTACTATCAACAACAGTTGCACCAGAGCGTCACGAAAGCAATGCCTGGCGGCTCGAGGCAAAGGTTGGCCATGTTCTGAATCCGCAAGAATGAAATGTTAACCTTGCAGTTACTAGACTCACTAGTCTCCGTACATCGATGCATTCGATGTCTCGCCGGGTGCTGCGGCCTCCATGCGTGTGCCACAAACCTGAGGGCCGCTGATGGCATCCAAATCCTCAGCTGCAAGCGATGTATAAGGCATTGCCATTGCGCGAATGAGAACGGTCATGATATCAGCCTAGAGAAATTGGCGTCACCATGGCAACAAGCAATCAACATTAACAAGCAACATAGCTAACACGGCAAGAATGGTCGTCAGAATCGACTCGGATGACGCTTCCGCTGGCTATCCAAAGGGCAATGCTCTGCAGCCGGAAGCTTTACAATCAGAGAAGGAAGCCAAGCATCAGGTCTCGGAGTGCCCTTGATTCCCAGCAACCAGCACTGCTTCGTATTCGGGAAAAAGGTGAAGCTTTCCTTGCGACTTGAGTTGTTATTGACAACTCTGCTTTCCGGCATACTGAAAGGATCAGGAGACTAGAGAAAAAGGCTTGAAGTCGGATTAGGTACAAGGGTACAAGTAGGGGCTACCGGGCTACTCAGGCATGAGCACTGCTTCGGACCTAGGACGACCTTTGGCTGGCTTCCCAAGTTCCACTGACGTATGGGACATAAATCAAGGGAACAGAGCTCGCATGCTTCCAGTTCCTGCAAAACGGCTACGTACTCAACTCCAGCTACCTCCGTCCATCAAACTCAGAGGGTCCATGTACCCAAATAGTATATTCTTTGGCTCCAAGGTACCTGCATAGGGACTAGTTTAAGGCTACAGTACATATAATTGTTGGTACATGGACCCTTAAACCAAAAAACATAAACCAGGGAAGGCAGGACCAGTTCTGGCACAGGCTCACAGAACCAGTTCAGGCTGCAGGAGACTTGGCAGTGCTCCGCGTTGTCCACAACCTTACGCAGATGCTAGGCTCTTTTTTTGAGCAGGGACTGTAGCATCTCTAAACCCCAAATTTGCGCTTCAAAACCGAGCTTTAAGCTCTGCAATACAAGGACAGAAATCGTCGGCACAAGTGCATAACAAACGAGGCTATCCATGGGACAGACAGGTAAATTTATCGGCAAGCAACTGACTACTGCTATAATGCATCACGAACATGGGTTCAGGTGAGGCACTCCTCCATTCAGCGTCGGGTGGTCGATGTCATCGTAGGCAATGCCGGCTTGCGCACATTCCTGGATTATGGAAGATTTAGGAAGCCTTCGAGTTGGGGACATGCTGCACTGGGGATGCCTGGAACCAGGACCCGTCAGATTGAAACGTGCGGTCTGCACCAGTGCCAGTGAATTTGGAGCAACGCAGAAACCACTGCACTCTTACTGAAAGACTGAATCTATTCTTGACCAAGCCACTGGCATGAACGACTTCTGCATCGCGGGCCCCGCCCCTAATATCTGCGCTTGGTTCGGCAGCAATGACGGCTCTCGAGGGGGCGAGCCTGGAAAAGAACATTGAAGCACCACGACGATCCTCTGCCTAAAAGACGATGTTTACCGACATCAGTCTCATCCTCTGTTACGGCAAAGGCGCTACCCAGCTCTGAGGTTACACAAGCGAATCTGGGTTCAACGTGCAGTACCGAGTTGATTCTAAAGCACGTGCAAAACCCTAGACCCGAAACGAGGTCAGACTACAGCTCGCAAGGCCAGAAATCCTTGCCGACAAGCGACTGCCGAGCGCCTGCCACGGGTGGACAGCCACCTGCAGGGAGACAGGTATTGTACGGCCCGACTCCGAACTCCTATTGCTCAAGACCCGGTTGGGAGGGGACCGGTGCACTTGCGGGTCTAGATTTTCGGATCGTGGGGGAAATTTGCCTCCCTCCTTCGGCATGGTGCAGGGCACTCTCTCTTTCCCTAAACTCAGGGCACATGCTCGCAGGAAGAGGGGGTTCTTACAACAGTCATGGCACACGCATGCCCTCTGTCAAATGCTCACACGGCGGTGTCACCGTCGTCGGGAATGTACTGCAGAAGCAACATAAAGCAGCACGGCAAAAGGCCATCCAACGAACACTTCTTTCGCTGAAATCAGCCCCTGTTCACAGCACCGGAAAGCTGGCCTCGGCGCGCTTTCCGGTGTTGCCGACAAGTCTTTTCACCTCGTCGCCCGAGTCAGGCACTGACAACCTGGAACCCTGGAACTCGTTCAGGCCCCAATCCTCCGAAGTCCATTTCCCCGGCCGGCCCGGCAAAGTACATACATTCTTCTCGGGACTGGATAGGACATGCCAAACCGTGCCGAAGGCACAGCTTCTGCCTTTCAGCCTTGACGAGTGAGCCTTGCAGCTCCTACGCCGGATGCCCACAACCCTAAACCAAACCCTAAAAGCACCAAACCCTACACACGTCGAAACCCAAACCCCGAACTCTAAACCCTCAAACCCGAAACCCTGATCCACCTGCGCCGCAGCTTTTTCGGCTTCCAGCTGCTGCTCTGCCGGGCTCATGCCAACCTTGGCCCGATGAGAAGGCCAGCAAAAATAAGCATAGGGCCTGACAGAGGGTTCATGAAGTGAAGCCGCAGTGATTATTAACAAACTAGAAACATGGTTCTTGAAGTTTGTTAAGCCATATAGTTGTTAATAACAAGTAGAACATGGCTCATTAAGTTTATTCTACCATTTAGTTAAACTACGCCCAGCGAAAACATCCTCAGTGGCAAAACCCAGGGGCCATAATTGGAATGGATTCTGGGGGTCATCATCCCGTAGTCTTATGGGATTCTAATAAGGGGATATTTCTAGTTACTAACGATTCAGACCCGTACCGTAAGGCTCGGGCAAGTTCGACAAAAGTAACATCATCAAAGCCGAAAGAGCTCTACCCCAAACTCAAACTTGAACCCTAAAGTCCAAAACCAAAGCTTGCAGGGCCGCCAGGAGGCGATCTCAGCCACCTGACGGACGGCATCTGCAGCCGCCTGTGCTTGTTGATCCGACGAGCGGCCTGCAGGAACGTCTTCTTCTAAATCAAAGCCCTTGTAGCCTCCTTCCCGGAAGCAACCACCGTCTCGTGCACAGCATGAGTACAATTTCCTAGGGTGCTCAAAAACTTCGCGACGACCACGATGCAGACGAGGACGACCACCGCCGCCGGAATAGTTACAAAGCCAACAGCTAAAGCCTCTGCAGCAACGGCAACCAAGACAAGGTGTGAATCTAACCAGCAGCAACAACCACAACGACGACTCTTACGCACAACATCTTACAATCGGCACGGAAATGTTAATGATGGAAACAGCAATGAAAACAGTATGTCTTGAAGATGAAGTTGCTGCCGGCCATGACCTGCTGGATGGATGACTCGAAGATACTCGGACCCGGAGCTCGAATTCAAAACAGAAACGCTGGCTTTCGACCTGGAGCTGCTGCCCAAACGAATCTAGCCAAACTATATTTTCTATATTTGGTGCATTTCCCAGGCAGCGTCTGGGTGCCGGACCTAGTTGCCTCATCCCATCTGCTGCCACAGCTGTAGCCACATCGATTGCGATGCGGACTTGTCGTGTTCTGTTCTGGGCGGCGCCCTCGGAGGCATCTGCAAAGGATGCTATGCATAGCACATCATCCGCAAGTCTGCCCTCTACAAGACCAATTATAGGGCGGATGGAAGAGGAACATAAACAGCCTGCTCAATAGTTATGCGGTCCGATGCTTTCTCGGTGAGACTTGCGCCGTCTACTACATTTGAGGAAGAAGCAGCTAAGGCCGCTCGATGCCTTAATATCTTCAAGCCCGTGACAAGAGTTTCTTCACGATTACATGAAACAACAGTACCATGTTTTTCTTATTCTTGACCACTTCGTGCTTGATATCTCCGGCAAGGCGCCGCTGCAGCTTCCTTTGCTGATGTGGCGGCTTCAACGGCCTGAAACGGCCGAAAGCTGCAGGCTGCAGGTGTCATTGGTTTCACAGTTTTAAAGCTTGGGATTGCAAGGCTTATAGGACTTGGTTGATTACCAGTCCAGACGTCACAAGATTTAGGAATATGTCCAAGCTCACTGGGCCAAGATTTGAGGTAAAATCAGCATCGGCCGTTTCGGGACTCACAGCAATCGCAGGGCTCTGCGGAGACTTTGAGCTAGTGACAGCTGGTGCCCATTCAACCCAAAATCTCGGCTGTTGGAGTTGCTTGAGTTGTATTGTCATAACCAGCTTGTTACATGTGACATGCAAACAGCCTGTCGGCGTCCGGATTTTCCCTCCCGCGTGTAGCCCTTTCCCAAGACCCCGCCACGGGGGCTGGAGGAGGTCTTCATTCCGGTTCCTGTTTGGCTGATTATAAACCATATATATATATATATGTTTAGGGTACAATGCGGTAACCCAAACACGGAACTACAACGGAGAGTACAGGTATAGGTACAATCCCAAACATGGTCCGGTTTCTATATGTTATTCAAGAGCTCTCTCTAAAAGTGTGCTTCCCTTCTTGGTCCAGTCTTTTCCGTCAGCCCGGTACAGGCATCATAGGACTTCAGGGGCATCAGGGCTAAACCCTAAAGGCCCTAAACCTGATCATCAGAGGCTTCGGAGGCTCCCGACCTGCTCCACAACTGCTTTGCCCTTCCGCCGCAGGGCGGAGACCATGAAGGAAGAGGCAGCGGAGACAGCAGCCACTGCTTGCCTGTCCACGTCGAAACCTCGAGGAGAGGGTGGTCTATAGGGTCTGAGGTTTAGGGTCCAGAGGCTTTATGGGTTGCAAAACTTAGGGAGTTCAAGGTTGTGCCTCCTTGCATTATCGTAAACTCGAGACGACCTTACAGGGAAAGCGCTCTCCGAGTTCTATTCTCCTTGCACCCTAGTACAGCTCCCACCCATGCAGACCACCATCAAACCAATAGCCTCGGCTACAGGCGAATCATGTCATCATATAAAGCTCAACTGCAGACTTCGCGGGACCGACGTGCGACGCAACGATGCCAGGGGGCCAAGCTTTGCTACAGCCTGCTGGGCAGCCCAGGCAGCTTGCTGAGCGCATTTCTCCACGGGCAGGTGCAGGTCCTGACCAAGTTGGCAGCGCTCAGTGCTGCAACAGCAGAAGAGAACCTTTGGCAGTCCAGTCGGGCGTGCTTGAGACGGAATGTTCAATGCCTCCCCGAGCTCTCGGATATGAAACCCCGGAGTCCAGCCCATCCCAAAGGGGCCAAGGTCCCCTCTGCTCCCCTCGTGTTCTGCACTGGGCCGCAGTATCCATACCGTCCATACCCTCCCTGCTACTAGCTGATGGCGATAAAGTAGAAGGCAAAGGCTAGCATGTTGTCATTTCTTATATAAGAACTGTCGTAACCATCGGCCACCTTGAAAAACCTAGCATCGCTTCTGCTCGTCATTTGTGGCACATAAATCATCTGTTTCCACGGCTTCTCGACGCTACCACGTCACAGAACATGTCAAGGAGTCCTTCACACACTGCAAGTAGAAGCTCGTGGAGCTCGGGTATATAGAAGGACTCGGGACTGGAGGGCTACAACATGCTCCGGCCTGCGTGCCGCTGCTGGCTGCTATGGCAGCAGACTTCGCTGCCAAGTTCTTCTGCTCCTCCCAGTACAGTCAACACCCGGCTCCACTCAACTAGACTCGGGTCTTGGGAAGCCCGGGTCTAAGCCGAATCTCGAAAGCAAGCTTGAAGAGGGCTTGGCATCTGGTAATGCAGGGCCCTCAGTAGATTCCTCAGTAGATAGATCGGACGAGGATATTGCTGAGGCTTTGTCACGGAGTCAGCGCCTTCGCATCCAGCCCCATATCTTCCGCCGCATGCAGTGTGGCACTCGCGGCTTCCATCACGGCATCTCGGATTCCTGCAGCAGAGAGGGAGTTCCTTGATAAGAGACCCAGTTAAGGTCTGCCTAGACAGAGCATCAGAGCATGTAGGCAGATGAGAAGATACCAACACGGCTTGGGAGCAAAACTTACAAAAGCCATGGCTGCGGCATTCTGGAACCGTGCCAGCCCTGAAAAAGCTCGGTAGATGGGCCAAATTCCACAGCCAGCCTTTCCCAAGCCGCGAAGTGTACTCCGCAGCCACCTGTACTTGATGTGGTTTCAAATGCACTGGGTTCGGATAAGAATTGTAGGGTCGGAAATCAGCATCGTGTGTACAGTTGCGTGAAATGCTATCCTCCTGTCCATGCATAGACGAACACCTTTAGTGCGAGATGGCCGCAGCGGTTGCTGCTCACATGCTCGAAGCTGTATTTTCCAAGGATGCCGGTTTTCAGCAAACTCATGACAAAGCAAACTGCTGCTCAGCTGACACGATTTTTCTTGGCTTCTTCTTCATCATTGTAACTGATATTAAAATTAAATGGTACCAGAAGTCGTGCGAACTAGGAATTGGCCTGGCCAGACACGAGGGGCACGATCTCGGGCTCGGCGCCTGAATCGTTTCACTACTTCAGAAGAAGATGGTGACTGCAAAGGTTAACAGCTACGTACGTACATATTTGTGTTCATGCATAGCGTGCTACCCCGTATCCACCTAGATACTGCAGCAAGTTTACCTTCATGCGAATGCGGGCAAATGCCTAGACGCAGAGGGACTAAAATCACTAGAAGAGGCTTGGGGTAAGGTCTCCGAGGTAGTTCTACATGGGTGATATTACGCTGATATTGCAAGCTGCAGGCTCGTACTGGATTGGCATGCCATGTTCGCGATATCTTTCTCGTGGTGTCGGTACCGTGGGGTGTACTCCCGTCGATGAGAGCCCTGAAGACCGAAACCCTTTCGCCCCAAACCCTCAGACACACTACCCTTCCCACTTGACTCACGTTTAACCACTGAAAGTCTGCCTTTAAGATCTCCTGCCATGGCCGTTTTGGTGGCCGCCGTGGCTGCGAAAAGTTGTTCGGCTAGGCCCAGGCCCTCCTGCTGCAGTTTATGGTTTAGGGTTTAGGGTTTAGGCTCTCACAACTCGGACATGCCAGGCGAGGTTCGGTTTAGGGTTTAGGGTTCTTGCTCTCGCTCTCTTGCAGACTCGTGTTCAAACCCCACACTAGGAAAGTGTTGATGGTGAAGCTTCCAGCTACATGTTTGCACCCTTTTGTGTCAAGTCTGATGACTGAGCCAAGACTGAAGCGTCTTAGCATGTAAAGCTGAGCAGTCATACATGTGTGAGAACCAGAAGTTCCACCCGGCAAGTTTTACACGTCGGTAGAGCAAGCCTCATACTTGCACAATTCAGAGGCAGAAGCTTTCGAACAGGCGTTGTTGTGAGAAAATTCGTGAACTGCGACCGTTGCCATGGCCGTTAACCCCTGAGCTCCGCTGTCTAAACCTACAGCATGATCCCCAGTGATCAACAGGGTATGAGCCCAACCCGTACTGCTACGCTGGATGGGGAAGTAAGTGGCCCTAACTATGACACGGCG